GACAAGGAAGATCCTTCCAGGTGCCTCCAGGAAGGGGTATATGCTTTTGGAGTGAAGTTGGTTGCTGACTTGATGAGCTCAGACCTGGTTTGGCCAGAAACCTAGATGCTGAGCTTGTTCCTCTTTTATTCTGAGCCAGAGAGCAGAAGGTCTTTCTGGATCATTAGGAGAAAAGCAGCTGGTGGATTATTTCCATTTCCTCCTACCCACATCACCTGTTTGGCAGTGAGTGGACCTGATTCTGTTACTCTCCAGAGGGGGCCCTGTAGGCTCTCCCACCCCCTCATCTGTCCCACTTCCCCCGTGGGTCCAGCCTTTGACTGGCGTGATGAGCAGGACCCAGAAGGGCTGCGGGAATGGGGTGGGAAGTGCTGTGCTGAATGTAGGTTATGCAGACGGCTCATCTGGAGGAACAATGCCACAGAATCCACAGTCCTGAATCCGCCGGGTGAGCCGGACAGCGCTGTGGGTTAAGGGAACTGGATAGGAGTTCTGACTCTGCAGTCTGGTCTGAGCTGGCTCCCGGTCCCTTCTTCCTTACAAAGCAGATTTCTGTGTATTAGATTATTCCAGTGTTTATGCCTTAGTAAACCAGACCTGAGGTTTCTCTTAAGTAATGCTGAAAGAAAAGAACTCTGTTTTTCCTATCCTTCATGCCCAGCATCCCATACAGCATCTGTGCACATTCGTACCAGCCAGGGGGAGCAAAGAAATCAGTCAGAACCCGAGGGAATTAAGAGTCCCGGCAATACTGAATTCTAATGGAAATTGAAAAATGGCCTCTGTAGCATGTTCATGGGACATGGGCGTGGCCACAAGCAGAGAAATGCAGTCAGGGTTCTCAGGCAGGTGTAGATACCAGCAGGTAGTGTCCGTTCTAGCTAGGTCTGCATTGTTTTGTTTTTTGTTTTTGTTTTTCTTTTTTTTTCTTTTTCTAGAACTCAAGAGTAAGGATAGTTGATCGGGCATAAAATGATACTGTTTTTCCAAACCTTGGGAAATGTCATGAAGGAAACATTCTTGTGGGCCGATTGATTTTGTTGTTAGTCTGTCGGTGCCGCCCGCTTACCAGGCCTCGTGGAACACAGACACATGCCTCTTGGAAATGTGGAAAGAATACAGTTTTAGCTATTTTGGGTCCTGTCTGTTGTAGACCACCCGTGGCATAAACTGTGTGGCTTCCAACCCCAACCAGAGCATCTACCACTCTCCAGTTTTTGTGCTCTGCAAAGAAAATTAAACAGTCCAGACGTCCACCACCTGGGGAGTGGGTACACAAGATGTGGTGTATCCATACAATGGGGTATTACTCAGCAACACAGAGAAATTAACGATAAATGCTCTAACATGGGCCACCCCAAAAACCTGCTGCGTGAAAGAAGCCACATGCAAAAGACTATATATTACATGGTTCCACTTACAGGAAATGTCCAGAAGAGACACACCTTGTAGAAATAGAAAGCAGATTCCATATTGCCTGGGAATGGGTTTGGGGACTGACTGCAGATGAGCATGAGGACTCTATTTAGGGTGATGGAAATAGTCTAAGATTACAATTTACTGAATTGACTGAAAATTATTATACGCTTAGTTTTCTGAGTGCAAATTACACTTGGGTAAAGCTGTTTAAAAAAGAAACGGGGGGCACCTGGGTGGTTTAGTGTCCCAACTCTTGATTTGGGCTCAGGTTGTGATCTTAGGGTCATGAGCTCAAGCCCTGTTTCAGGCTCCATGCTGGGCATGGAGAGTCTGCTTGAGATTCTCTCTCCCTCTGCCTTCCCCCGTCCCAGCATGTGCATGTGCATACGTGCTCTCTCTCTCAAACAAACAAACAAAACCCCCAAATGAGAAGCTCGCCATTGACTTTTGTCTAATATGAGATCATTCCTGATTAATATCCTTCTAGATGCCTGTGACTGCAGCATGAGCGGGGGGAGGAGCAGGGAGAATGGACAGCTTCTTAGTCTTCCTTTAAGGGCAGAGCCCTGTGGTGAGTTCTGAGGAGACTGTAGGTAGAGTGGCCATATTTTCTGAACCAAAATGGAAAGTAGAATCAGGCAGTGTCCTGGGTGCTTTGCACTCATTTTCTCATTCAACATTCACTTAATTCTCATAACAAGCCTGTGGGAAAGGTGCAGTTTGGCATATGCCCATTTTAAAGAAGAAAATGGAGGCCCCGAGAGGTTGAGTCTTCTGAAAATTCAGTCTATAAGTGATGAACTGTCGAGATTCAAACCCCGGTCTTTCTGGCTCAAAAAGTCAGTGATCTTTATACTAAAAATACTACCTGCTAAGAAGTAGTATATGTGTGGGAAGACTGTGCTCTTTGACAGAGAAAAAGATGTTTTAGGGACTGGTGCTGAGTTATGAACAGTAAGGGACTCACCAACCATGGTGGGTAGAGAATAGGACAAAGCTGTCTCTGTTTGCCCTGACTTGGGCTGGCCTGCCAGGAGGTGCTGATGTGGACATGCCTGCCTCTTGCAGGGGACAACCCATCCACCCCTGGGTGTGCTGAATTTTTAGTTCCTCCCTTTTTTGTTGTTCTTACGTGGTTCCAGAAAATGTATTATGGAATGTGCCAAACATTCCATAATCATAGAATACTTACAGAAGAATAAAGACTACTTATATGCCCACCAGCTAGCTTAATAAATAAAACATCATCTGGTTGTGCTTTTAAATTTACCACACGTGATGGGTAGACAAGTAAAACCAAGTTATACAGTGTGGGGAGACCGGGCTTTGAGATGGAAAAACCTAGATTCAAATCCCAAATCCCAGCTCTGTCATGTATTCCCTTGGAGAGGTCATAAAACTGTCCTGGGCTGCTGTTTTTCTTTGAAAAAGGGACCTTAATACTCACTTCCCAGGTTGTAGAGATTGAATGAGATCATGCTCATCAAGATCTTAACCTGATACATACTAATTAGTAGTAGTCCTTGTTCTTATAAACAGTATAACCTGAAAACTATCAAAGGCACTAAAAATAAATCTTACATAGATTTCGCCAATCCCCATGATTAGCCCTACTTTCTCCCTCCCGTGACTTCAATTTTGAGGGGGAAATGGTTTCCCAAGTTCCTTAACAAGTGCAAACCTGCATGCCAGCTTTTGATTCTGTCCCCAACTCCCACCAGTGCCCAACTGGGTGACTACGGGCATGTCACTTCATGCACCTGACTCCTCCCATCCAAACCTCCCATTCTGTGACCCTGATGTGCTTGTAAGAACATTTAGAAGCAGACACAGAACAAGCCACAGGGGTGTGTGTGCTGCTTTTTTGGTTTCCGTAGGCTGGAGAAGGAAGGAGAGCTGAAGGGTTAAAGCTGACCTACTACCTCCAGAAACTGGGGGCCTCAGCCAGCACTTTGAGGCTTTCTCTGCTCTCCATATTGCCCAAGATGGTTAATAAGCATCCTTTGTCTGGGCCAGTCCTAGCTCACACCTGACCACCTGGCTTAATTAAAAGCTCACCCCTTTCACTCTCAGAAGCATCATGGTTTGCATGATAAGTCATAAGATGATTGCAGTAAAAACCATTTCTAAGGCACGAACCTGGACCTTATGGGAATCTCATACGGGAGTCTGGGGGCTATGGTTATTTGTAACGAAGAGCAGGGAAGGCCTTCACTGTTCACGGTGTGCTTTCACAGATAGGCTCTTACTGGATCTGCAGGATAACGTTGTATGATGGGGAAGCTGTGTCAGTATTGCCAGTGAGGCCCAGAGAGATCAAGTGACTTACCCAGAGTTGCAGAGAAAGCATGTGCTGGAGTACAGACTGGAACCCACATTTGTGTTGTCAGTTGTGATCTCCATTTCTTCAGGGCCTGGCAGTCATTCAGGCTGGCCTAGTCAGATCACGCCCAGGACACCGGCAGGCATGCAGGGAATGGGGCTTGTTTCTGAAAGGACCTCATGCATACCCTCTGCCCGGTAATGGGTCCTGCAGGAAACTCTTGCTCCTATATCCGAAGTCTCTTCCCGACCTGGGGCTAACCAGGACGTGTGCATTTCCCACACAGGAGATGCTCCCCTTCCTCCATCCCACTCCTTCTGACCCCGTAGCCAGTTGAGAGAAGGAAATTCAGCTTCAGGTGGAAGCAAAGCAGAGGGAGCCCCCAAGATTCCTTCTTCCTGTCCCTCAGGCTGGGTGGCCCTATTCCTTCACCCTCAGGATCGGTTCAGGCCCCGGCCTTCGAATCTGGTGTTAAAAGAACATAAAAGGAAGGATTCCCCAAGGAGCAACACCCTCGATCCATAGCCTCTGCCTGTGAATAAATATTTTATTCCTTCTCGGCAGCTTTTTATGCATGCCTTGAGGCAAATGCATTTTAACACCTAAAAAATTCTGTTTGGGGAATAAAAATTTTCTTACCCCCCACTCTGTTCTCATTTTTTGTTCTTAATACAGAATTTTTGTGTGAGTTCTTTTGAAAGCAAGTCCTATAGCCGATCCCCACACCCATCCCAAATGAGTGATTTAGTAGACAAGGGAGACACAGAGCCACGTGTTTGAGGGAAGGATGGTTGGGCAGAGCAAAGTGAGGATTTCGGAGTTGGGTAGGAGCCCCTTGGCATATGCACAAAGCGGCTGGAGGCACAGAGCGTGGACTCCGCTGCCAAGTGGAGACCGGTGAGGCTCCCCCTCCGCCGCCCGGCGCCGGAGTGCACCTCTGTCCCGGATTGCTTGCTTCGCCTGAGAACAAGCACGGTCTTGCTCGGGAGTCTGACTTTTTTTGGTTGCGCCCTTGCTGAGAGTTTCCTCCCGGCACTCGCCAGACATCCGGCTGCAGCTTGCCTCATGTATCCGCTCTAACCCCGGTGGCGGAGAAGCCGCGAATTTCTCTGTGGCCGACGCCCCGCCGTCCACTGACTGTGGTCGCAGGGAGGTGTTCAGGAACCGCGTCCGGTCCTAGAGAGATGAAGCTCGCGAGCAAGAATGGGCCCCCGAGCTGGGGCCCCTTGTCTAAAAGAATCTCCTCACTGTCTTGCAGAAATCCGGAACGGCAACCTCAAGGCCATCCTGGGCCTCTTCTTCAGCCTCTCCCGCTACAAGCAGCAACAGCAGCAGCCCCAGAGGCAGCACCTGTCCGCGCCGCCGCCGCCGCCGCCCGCCGGGGCCCAGGCGGCCGCGGCCCCCTCCCAGTGCCAGGCTGGCGCTCCTCAGCAGCAGGTGCCCGCCGCCCCCCAAGCCCCGGGCCAGCCTCTGCAGCCGGTGCCACATCAGCAGTCAAAAGCCCAAGCTGAGATGCAGTCCAGGTGGGGGCGCCTCGCCGACTGGTAATTCCGTGGTTCACGGGGCATCCTCCACGCCGGGCCCAGCCGTAGCCGAGGCCCAGTGTGTTCTGGTTTGGGCCTCTGCAGTGCTGAGGGCTACTGGTAGTGGGGGGGGGGGGGGTTAGCATGGCCTTGAAATGGATGCAGCGGGGCTGCCTCCAGTGCCTGCCTGGTGGAGATGTGTGCTCTTACAGGTCAGAATGGCCGGCAGCCAGAGCTGCCTAACTACTCTTGCCTTGATGCCGGCCTATGATGCACTAAACAGCCCCGAAAATAGACTCCAGCCTGGTTTTGCCGTGTTTTGCCTATAAGCTGGGCGTTCGGTGTTCTATGTGTTGAGTCATTCTACTTAGTGGAGGTGAAAGTTCTGCCGTGGATGCCTCTGCTTCACCAGAAGAGGAATATCAGGAGCGCAGAAGACGGGAAATGCTTAGCAAGGAAGGGAGCAGCCACCTTCCATGAGAGGACCGGGGACTGGGTTTTGTTAGCCTTGGAGAGTTGATAGGGGCCTCAGCCGTGGTCCTCCGTTTTGTGGGATTAGGGCTTCACTGTTGCTGACACTCGCAGAGGGGCTGATGCCTGCCAGTGGGGCTCTCGGTGTGGAATGATAAGCACGCAGAGCGCCAGGGTAGTTACCATCTACTGTGTTATAATGGGAATAGTTGCATCCCTCAACGACTCTGCAGAAGATCGCCTTGTAGAACATTCATTTTAATGGGTGGAGGGAAAGGGAGGGGATCAGGAGCTAGAAAGCGTTTGACTCGTAGTAAAATTCTAAAGAAAAGTCCACAATAATTGTTGCTTGAAGCTGTAAACCTTTAGTTACCAAATCATCTAAACGTCACTAATTAGATTGATTGCTTGATTTCACTTAATATGTGCTAAAGAGTAATGGCTTTTCCTTTCCAGTCCCCCAAAGCACCAGTGTTAATAATCACAGGGCTTCTCGCACACGTTCGTACCCTCAGAAGCCCATTGTAATTGGACAAAGCACAAAACAGTCCAGACAAAACAGGTGCCTTATAGATGGTTACAGCTTCTTCCTTCCCCTGAGAAGTGCTACTTCCCATTTGTGATGGTGTTAAAACCAGCAGTGATGGGTGTGCTGTAAACCAGATGCCCTAATTAATTATCTCATTATATCCAATTGACATTATGGAAATTTGTAGGCTAGCAGAAATGCCTGGACTAGTAATGAGGAACAGACAGCCGGGCAGCGAGCCTCTGCACCCTGACCTGAAGAAGCACCTGCGTGCGAGCCATTCTCTGATCCGAGGCCCCTGATGGCCCTAGGTGATTGAATGACCAGGATATCATTTCCCACACTGTCTACAGAGTGCTTATTCCCTGGATGGTAACTTGTAGGGGAAGAGTTCCACAGGGGGAAAAGTTGGTAAATAATCTGGGTTGAGTTGTTAGAACTGTTATTACAGGTCTACTCGGGTCCTTGAATCTGCCAAAAATGCATTCATTTATTTAGTTAGTGTTTGAATGCCTTCCATGTGCCAGACACTGTTCTAGGCACTTGGAGTTCATGGATGAATGAGACCACCAGTGTGCCCACTCTTTGTATTTTCCTGGAGGAGGCCGGCAAATAGGGAAGAGAACTATCACATACTGGTATTATAGTAAGATGATGGGATTCAGAAGGATTAGGTTGATAACTTAGGTTGGACTGATAGGAAATTCTCTCTGGGGACGTGACACCAGAGCGGAGATAGGAATGACCTGGAGCAAGCCACGCAAAGTTTAGGTGTAGAATAGATCAGCCAGAGGTTGCAGCTGGTGCAAAGGCCCTGTGGTATTAGAGTAAGCTTGGCAGGTTGGAGGACCAAAAAGAAGGCTGGTGTGGCTGGAGTTCAGTGGGTGAGGGGAGTTGGAAAATGGTAAGGTACCTGTAAGCAAAGCCTCTGTCTACCTGGAAGACAGTATGACTGGTGGTCCCTGGAGTTGCCTAGTGCCGTGGCCCTGGGGTCCAGTCACAGTGTGCTAGCTAAACTGGGTGAAGAGTTTGCATTTCATTTTATAGGTAACAGGAAGCTGCTGGGGTGTCTTGAGCAGGAGAGAGACTTGATTTATGGTTTCAAAAAAAAATCTTCTTAGCCCCCTTCTGGATAATAAGACTATGAAGGTGTAGAGATGGAAGGAAGGACCCCAGGTAAGAGGCTTTTGTGGTCCTCCAGATGACTGTGGCTTGGGCCAAGGGCTGGAGCAGATTTGTTGATGGACCACTTCACCAGGTTGAGCCAACAGGACTGTGAGTAGATCGACTGGCTGGAGTGAGGGAGAGCATCACAGATAAAGCCTAGATTCCTGGCGTGAGCAGTGGTAAATGGTGCTATTTATTGAGATGAGGGAGCCTGAGAGAAGAACACGTATGTGCTGTGAGTCTTCAGAAGAGGCCGTAGAAAGCATTCCTCAAACTGAGCCGCAGAACTTACTTCGTAGGGCTTCTCACTGCATATAGGATTCCAAGGAACATGCGTTGAGTAATACCAGGCTTGTGTCACTCAGCTATGCTAGCTCGAGGCACCCATTTCCATGGTAGGCGTGTGTTTTCTTAAGAGAACCAGATGTTCCAGTCAGGACACCCATCTCCCAGTAAGAAAAAACAGGTGCTTTACCTAGAGAAGAGTCAAACTTACTTAAGCCAGGTTTTTAGATCCGTTTATTCCAGAGTGATTCCTACCATCATGGCCTCCTGACTCTGTACTGTGGTGACATGGATTGGCCTTTGGCGTTGCTGTATGTCCTCCCTCATTCTTTATCTGGCCCAGATTGGGTTACTTCGGCAGATGACTGGTTTCCCACATTATATACTGATCCTTTCTAATTTTACTTCTGAAGGACAATCTTATTCTCAGGTTCTAGGGATCTAATATACCATGCTTACACTCTGGCTGTAAATTTAAGAATAGTAAAATGGCATCACTGGCTTAGTTCCATTGTATTTCTATCCCACATTTTGTCTTTGGTAACCAGAGTCCCAAAGGTAATGGTTTAGATCCTTGATTATCAGTGTGAAATGCTGGCGCAAGCCCCGAACACCAGGTTTTAGTCCTTCTGTTAGAACCAACCAAGCCAGGCGCCTCCCCGTTATCATAGACTCCTGTTAGTCATGTGTGTGTCTAACGTATCTTCTCTCCCCTCACTCATCTCTTCCACTTTTTTTCTTTCCCGTCATGCAGTGCATCATCCAAGGACTCATCTCAAAGCAAAATCATCCGCTTCACTCTGGGTCAGAAAAAGATTTCTAGGTTAGATTTTTCTCTGTGTCCTGCAAAGCATGGTTTCAACCCAACTCATTGATCCCTTTGCTCTGGCTAAGTTTCCTTTTGGTCCCTCTCCCCGTTTCATGTTTGCAGTTTGAGAAAACCAAACATGCTTTGGCTGATGACCCAATGTTGGAAAGTTTTGAGAGTGTCTGGGTGGGGGAGGAGTCATTGAAAAGGAGTGTGTATGTGTGTGTCAGAGTGTATGTGAGGTGAAGATGTCCATACTGCTTCTGCATTCATTGATTTGGGCTTTGATTGCTCGGTCATCAAAATCCTTTCTGATTTAGGGAGAGGTAAGTTTCTTGGTGGATTTTATAGTGGTTTTATGATGCGTTTGGCTCCCTGCTGTGGCTTGACCCTGATCCCACCTTGCCTGCATCTCCTTTGTGTGTGTGGTGCTTTTTATTGTTGCCGTTATTGCTAAAATTACTAACGTGGCATTGGTTTTCTTTTGAATTATAAAGACCTGAAGCATGAATGAATCCAAATGGTCAGAGGAGACAAGGCCACAAGGCAGCTATGTCTCATTTTTGTTTCTGGATGCTCTTTTGTACCTTGGAGGGATTGCCTCAGTTACCTACAAATAAAAACCAGCCTTGCTCACTAACTAGTTCTCTTGACACAGAGTTTGTCATCTACTGCCTCCTATGAGGACCCATCCCAGGGTATGGAAAATGCAGGTCACATCTTTGCGATCTACTGTTCTTTTAAAAGTAGCAAGAACTAACATTTACTGAATGCTCGTTATGCTCCAATTTAAATGCATTCTCTTATTTAATCCTCACATCAGTCTTCATGCAGCAGGTCATGTTATTATCCCCATTTTACAGATGAGAAAACTAAAATAGAGGAAGTTAGGTAAGTTACCCAAGGTGACACAGAAAGTGGAAAAATCCAGGATTTGAGCCCAGGTGATCTAACTCCAGAACCCTCACCTTAACCACTGTCTTACACTCCTCCTCTCTTCCTCCCCCTTGAAATCTGGTACTTAAGGGGTTGTCGAGGCTGCTTTTAAAAATCTAAGATTTCAACCATTACTCTCGGTCTTTTGCCTCCCCTTGTAGCATCCCAACAGAACCCGATGCTGGGGTGAAATCGCTTCATTTACTTTTCATTGAATTCTCACTTAACGCTAAAGGGAGGCCCACACCACATTTGTATCTGTATTCATGTGACAAATATGTACCGAACGTCAGCCTGCTGCCCCACTATGTCAAGCTCTAGGTGCCTTTTCTAGCCAAAGCTTTCTTTTTCTTTTCTAAAAGGTTACACATAGGGAGACCCAACCCGGGATCTGCCTGGCTGTTGGGGAGGAGCCACAGGGCAGTTGCCTCTCTGTAGAACAAGTCCACATATTACCCAGACTTGGTTCCGGGGGACGGGAGGGAACCCACATTCATCAGTGCTTCTCATAATCCTGTGTCTCTGTCAGTTTGGGCTGCTAGAACAAATCACCATAAACTGGGTGACTTAAACAACAGAAATGTTTTCCTTACGGGTCTGGAGGCTGGGAAGTCGAAGGTCAAGATGCCAGCTCAGTCGGGTTCTAATGAGGACCCTGTTCCTGGTTTCCGGATGACTGTGTTCTTGCTCTGTCCTCACATGGAGAGCAGTGAGAGAGGATGCAAGCCCCATCCTTCTCTTGTTATAAGGCACTAATCCCACTGTGAGGTCTTTAACCTTGTGACCTAAGTCTCTCCCCTAAGCCGCATTTCCAGATACCATCATCTGGGGATTAGGGTTATGACACATGAATTGGGGCGGGGGCAGGGAGGACATAAACACGCAGTTCATAACACCATGCTAGAGAGTGCCCACTTTTCCTGAAAAATAACACAGGGTGCAACTCAGACACCGACTGCCCTGGCAAACGGGGTTCCCAGTTTTCGAGCATTGTGCAGATGTCCCTATATAGGTGTCAACCTAAATAAGGATGTAAACTGAGGTAAGCTGAAATTACCAAACTCAAATTGAGTTTATTTGGGAATAGCAGAGGAATTGTAATTTGGGAAATGCATGCCAGAGCAAGAAAAAAGTGAGTCTATTGAGGGTTTGGGGCGTGTTATAATGATGGACCGCAGTGCAAGGGGGCATGTGAGGGTTCAGCCAGAGTCCAAGCAGTAATTTCATTGGTTTGAGGATGGAGAGGGATTCTTGGCAGATGTGCGTGGTCAGGAGATAAGTTTCTATATTCCGTAAATCAGACATTGATGGGCCATCAGCCTCTCCGTTCTTACATGCCGTTCTTCTGAGGGCATGTGCATGAGATTCTCCATTTCCTATCCTCCAGTTCCACTGTAGATTGAAATACTTTCACGGACAAAAGGAAAGGAGGAGAGTGAGCTTGGAGGGAACCTGAAATCTAGTGTTTGTTCCCACGATGTGCTCCATTCTAGAAGATAAAACAAACAGGCGCTTGCTGGGAAAATATCTGCTTGAGGCACATGCCCATCCCGAGCATGATTTGTTATCAGTCCCCGGATGATGGAAGGAGGCAGTGGGAAGAGAGGAAGGACTGAAGGGTGAGGCCATGTCTGCCTCTCCCCCAGGGTGTGCTGGGTACAGGGCTTCCAAGCTGATGGAAAGCCAAGGTGTGGCTTTCTTTCAGGGTCACATCCCCCACCTAGAGTTTCTTTTGGATACATTTTTGTTTGTTTCATTATTTGCCTAATACTCTTCTTTGCGCTTTCCTGCCCCCCTCCCTTTCCCACCCCCAGCCTTGAGCACAATTCTGATAAGCATTTTAGCTAATCCAGGCATCACCAAATGTAACAGTAAAGTCAGCTGCCAGAAGAAATAGACTTACCCCTGCTGACGGAGTAAGGCACTTCTCCCAGAGCTCTGGAAATAGATCTTATTCAAGTACAAACATTGATGCAACACTGGCCAGAGCCCAACATCTCGATAGGCACCAGAGATATCCAACAGGGTGGGAAGCCTCACCCTTGAGTCTGGATGCGGGGAAGAGGCTTATAGGGGGCATCATCACAGGGGTGAAGGGTTTGCATGAACTTCTGCCTTCGACTACAACTATTGTCCCTTGGCAACCCTGGCGGCTCCCAGGTTGGTAGGCATATTCCATCTGCAGATGCGCAGAAGCATGGTGGCTATGAGTGCAGCTAGTCAAACCTAGTGAAAGCCCCTCTTCACCCCTCACCACGTCGCCTGGGCTAATTATTTATTTGCCAGGAGCCCATGTTTCCTTACTGCCACATTCAGAGTGTTATGTGGATCAAGTAAAGTCCTCTCCGGTCTGGTCCATAATGAGCGCACCATAACTAGCAGGGACAGTGATGTTGGTGTTTGGGGTTGATCTGGGCCAGCTGGGGCCACCAGGCCACCTCTAGCAAAGACCTACAGAATTGACCTACACAACCATCTTGCGGAGAGGAAGCGGTGGGGCTAATATTTCTGTCCTCTTTGTCCAGCTGCTGTAAAGCAGAGGCTATGAGATGAGAGGTTTAGCATTTAATGGTCTCCTCTGGCAAAAAAAAATCTCCGATCACAATACCTTCCACCTGAGGTCCCAAGCGTGTGCACCCACCTTCTCCCCAAGTTTCAAGTAGCTTTGCAGGGAAGAACGGCTTTCTTCCCATCAGTGCACTCAGTGCGTGGAGCTAGGATCTAGTCACAGGTTATGTGCCAAGAATGACCGTTTACTACCCTGCCTGCTTGGCTCTGCACATGTTGAAGAAATCAACCATGCCTCCAACAGCGGCAGGATTTCTCTCCTGCCTCTTTTTTACACCACTTCCTTTAAACTTACTTTTTTTTTTTTTGGAAAGCAACATGTGTATGTTTCGAAGAACCCATCTGTGTCCTCTGTCATTTTGTAACTATGTTTGGAACATGGAATGACTTGGAATGACTTGAGAAGTAGAGTTGTTCTTGCAAAGGAGTCCTTGGAACTTTATGGCACCATAAATGATGCAGGGTTGACTTGACATGCCCCGACCCCCGCCCCCTGTTCCACATGACCAAGACCCAACTCTTTGCAGAGACGGATGCTAATGTGCAGGCAGCAGCTGTTTCCAGGCTGGGACTTGATAGAAGTTCTTGGGATGCACAAGGATGTTAACAGTAATGAACTTGAGAATGTGAGCCGGGGGCTTAGGGTCTGTGTTACTGTGAACTAGGGGATACTCTGCTTTTCCACTCTAACTCTGCTCCCAGCCTCCCTAACAAATGCCTCATTGCTGGAGGGCAGGACAACGTCCAGATTCATACTGTGGCATACAAGGCCCTCTCTACTCTGGCCTTGCCTGCTTCTCTAGCCTTGTTTCCTCCCAGCCTGTTCCCCACTCCCCAGCACACACCAGCGCTTCCTTCCTCTGCAGGAGATGTGTGCCTCTCACCATGACTCCGTACCCTCTTGCCCTCCACTCACATTTCCGTTCCACATGCCACATCTTGCCCTGGGGTCACATCTATTTAGAACCTTCCCTGGCCATCCCACCAACTTCCAAGATGATCATTTTTCTTCTTTGAATTACTTCTGACCTTTGCATATTCTTTTATCAATACATGTGTAATTTAGATGTCATCTGGGATCAATCAGCCCCTTAAGATCTAGATGAGATTGAACTAGAACCCTGCCTCACTCTTTTTGGGCTGCCATAGTAAAATACCACAGACTCAGTGACTGAAACAACAGAAATTTATTGCTCACATTTCTCGAAGCTGGAAGTCCATGATCAGGATGCCAGCCTAGTCGGGTTCTGGGCAGATGGCTGACTTCTCACTCTGTCCTCATAGGGTGGAAGGGGCTACCTAGCATTCTGCACTGTCTTTTATAAGGGTGTTAACGTCATTCACGAGGGTTCTGTGTAATGACCTAATCACCTCCCAAAGGCCCCACCTCCTAATGCCATCACACTGGGCATAAAGATTTCCACATAGGAATTTGGGGTGGGGGAACATAATCATTCAGGTCATAGAAAACTCTTCTTCAATTTGCAGAAAATCCGGTGCCTTCTCCACGATTGCTCATGTACCTTAGGTCCTCAAGGTCATCTTTGTCTTTGAAATGCTACATTTGAAATCTTCTAATTCATTCTGAATTAATTCGGGAGGATTGACTCCCTATCCCAAAGAATATTTTGGTTCCCTCATGGGTGGATCCAAACAAGCCTTTTTCCTTACTTCCTACCCCACCACACATTCATTCATGGCCTTTGTATGTGAGGCGGACTTTGCTGAAAATTTCAGAGAGATGGTGGGGGGCTTCTTGCTTTGGAGTAAGCAACTATTCAAGCCCATTCACAAAAAAACCCAAGTTTTTTTTTTTTTTTTTTAAGATTTTATTTATTTATTTGAGAGAGAGAGCACAAGCAGGGGGAGCAGCAGAGGGAGAGGGAGAAGCAGGCTCCCCGCTGAGCAGGGAGCCCAATGCAGGGCTCGATCCCAGGACCCTGGGATCATGACCTGAGCCGAAGGCAGATGCTTAACCAACTGAGCCACCCAGGTGCCCCAAAACCCAAGTTTTAAAGCATCGTGTTGTCCTAGACACCCTCTGAAACTTGGAAGAAATTACTTGGTCTCCACCCAGTCTTTCCATTTGGTCAAGTTCAAGGAGCCCTCCTAACTAGGGTTTAACAGTGATGGGAGTAGAAGGTGACATGAATTGGCTTGAACTTTGGGGTGGCTTTTGATGCCTAAAATGCTTCCAGACTGCAGACCTCTTTGGTGCTCACAGATTTGCATGTGAACTAGGGGATACATGCAGAAATACATGGATACACGGAGAAAGTTTAAAAAAGAAAGTCCAGGCTGGGAGGAAACAAGGCTAAAGAGGCAGGCAGGGCCAGAGTAGAGAGGGCCTTGTATGCCACAGTATGAATCTGGACGTTGTCCTGCCCTCCAGCAATGAGGCATTCGTTAGGGAGGCTGGGAGCAGAGTTAGAGTGGAAAAGCAGAGTATCCCCTAGTTCACAGTAACACAGACCCTAAGCCCCCGGCTCACATTCTTTTTCATGTCAGCTGCCTTCAAGGCCTTCAAGAACTCCTTCTCCATGTCCTAGGAAACTTGGCACAACCCTGCAGCCACTTGAAGGCTATGCTGCTCCCATCAAAGGTGCACCTCCAGGTCCTGACTCAGTGTAGAGAATCTGATGATGACCACCCACGGGGAAACCAGAACTGTCTTAGTTGATCCAAGACCAGAATGTTTCACTCTGGGGATTGGGGCCTACGGATGGCTCAGAGGTACCCTAAGTATAAGGTCTCAGTCACAGGTACTTGGATGAAGCAGTTTCTCTTCTGGAATGTTTCTTAGGGGAATGAGCACCGTCTGCCAAAGCCTGGCTTGCCTCTTTGAAAATGTAGATCTCAGACTTTTATATGTTGATTTTTGTCTGCTGTCTTCTGATACTTACATCTAGATCCTCAATTTCCTTCATTATTTGTTTGATTCTTTTTGGTACCAAAGCCTGTTTCCTTTATTACAATGCCGAAGTCATTTATGAATTTATGCTCAGCAGAGAGGATGGGAAGGGGAACTCACATGCATTGAGTACTTAGAATAGGCCAGACATTAAGTCCCGTTCCAAATGAGCAACTATCCTATTGGGTAGTTGATTATTATTCCAAAGTTATCTGATATGGAACATGAATCTTAGATTATAATACTGGTCCAGTGTCATGTGTATGGAAAAAGCCCATATTTTATCCATTATCCCACACTACTCATCCAAGAGAAAAAGGAAGATGAACTTTATATTTTTAATCAGCCTATGCAATTCAAGGTTGTACTCATCCCATCCGACGCTTTGATCAATCTTCTTTCTATAAAGCCCCCGACTGCCCTGAAAAGTCTGTGGTCCAGCCCTGGGTCAGGGCAGTGGGAGCTCTTCAGCAGCTCTGAAAGGAATGTATGTTTTCCCTTGTTCTTGCTTTTTGCTTCCCTACTCCTTGCAAATTCCCTACTGAAGTAGAATGCTACGACCTTTTACCCTGTGCCACTTCATACAGTTGCTGTGATATCATCTGGGAACAAGTCTATAATCCTTTTCCAGGCCTGTCTGTAGGCATGAAGACTCCTGTAGACTAAGGCTGGGTTAAAGGAGTCCAGCCCAAAGGACTCCATGTCTGCCCCTGCAGAAGCTCTACCATTAGCTGGGAGTACTCCGCTAAAAATGACTTGGAGGGCTTGCTGGATGCTGTTTGTATTCAAAGCAGAACCAAGAGGTACCAAGATCCCATTGCTAGACCTCCTTATTCAGTTGTGCTGGCCACATCTGGTACCTAAATATACACCCTGGTACAACTACCCAATAGCCCACTCTGTGTCTGTCTTTATGGGGTGAATATTTTCTCCAGACAAGATGGGGTAAATTAACAGAGGGGCGAATCCTCCTAGTGCAGTGGAAAGTGCACTTGCCTCTGCCACCTGGGGGGGCGAACTCACCCCCTTCCTTCTCTCCTAGTTCCCAGTCAGGGAATTGGGCCACCTTCTTCTTAACTGTATAAATTTTACAGTGCTCTCACACCAGCTCATGTTCTCTGTTTACAAACCATCTTTCTTGCTCAGCCAGCAAGAAAAAGTTTAAAGTGATTGCCTGCTTATATGTAAAATGCTTCCAGACTGCAGGCCTCTTTGGTGCTCACAGATTTGCATGGGGAGAGAAAGTTTAAAGCTTTATGAGTTGAAAGTTCAGACTTATCACTAGATCTAATGCTAGTCAGAGGAAGTTCCAGTGGTTTTTAAACAGTTAAGTGGGTTTTAGCTGAAATATAGAACTATCTCATTATTTATTCATCTTTAAACTTTTAATGATTAGAAACAGCCTGCTTAGTAGTCTCTGAACCAAAGTTCTGATCTGGGGAGTCTTCCCCTTAACTCTTGGGGGAGGAGGCCATAATATCTTTAGACATATTACAAAGATGTCTGCTAACTTTATTTCCCAAACCACCCCAACTGAGTTACTTTACTTAAAGAGAAAGTGTATGTTTGTCTTTAGGTTAATAGTTTCCTGCTCGTTCTACAGAAAGAACGTATGATTTTATCCATCTACTGTGCAGAGAAGCTGAGCTTCAGCCTCTAAGTAATGCCTATGGAGACAAGTTGTCAGGTGTTGAAGGAAAATGTATGTTTCAACACATGTTTTCATCCAGGCCATAAGTTTTTTTCATTGTAGTTGTATTGGGGTCTGAGTGCTAGCAGGTCTCTTTCTGACCATTATAAATTACATCATTTTCTTGACACAACAACCCCAGATTATGACAAACACCATATTAATACCTACCAAAAGAGATGCACACATAGTAAGGTAAAAAAGCTTAGAGTCTTTTTTTTTTTTTTAATATTTATTTATTTGACAGAGAGAGAGATAGCAAGAGCAGGAACACAAGCAGGGGGAGTGGGAGAGGGAGAAGGAGACACCCGCCGAGGAGGGAGCCTGATGCGGGGCTCGATCCCAGGACCCTGGGATCATGACCCGAGCTGAAGACAGACACGTAATGACTGAGCCACCCAGGCCCCCCAAAAAGCTTAGAGTCTTAATTGGCCTTTATGTTCCACACTTTATAGAATTAGAGTTGACATGGTTTGGCCCTATTGAAAAGTAAAATTAGGGGCGCCTGGGTGGCTCAGTCGTTGGGCGTCTGCCTTCGGCTCAGGTCATGATCCCAGAATTCTGGGATCGAGCCCCACATCGGGCTCCCTGCGCAGCGGGAAGCCTGCTTCTCCCTCTCCCACTCCCCCTGCTTGTGTTCCCTCTCTTGCTGTGTCTCTCTCTGTCAAATAAATAAAATCTTTTAAAAAAAGAAAAAAGAAAAGTAAAGTAAAATTACTCATCCAAGAAAAAAAGGAAGATGGACTTTATATTTTTAATCAGCAAACATATTTATTTAGTTTTACTTCAGAATTTCTCTTTGCTCAAAGGAAAACTCAAGTTTTGCTGTTGGACTTTGCTGGGGTCATTAGTAGCCTAGATGTTTGTAGTGGTTCCACTAAATCTTTTGATTGGCAAACCTCCACAGACCCAATGTCTTGAATGGTTTCCTTTACCTCCTGCATGGTTGCAGTTCCTTCTTCTGAGACACAGCTGTTCTCCTGAGACTGAATCATTATTCTGTTGCTTTTGCATTTTAGGCTTCCAGGTCCTACCGCAAGGATATCTGCTGCAGGCAGCGAAGCCAAAACACGTGGAGGGTCAGCAACTGCTAACAACCGACGCAGCCAGAGCTTTAACAACTATGACAAGTCCAAACCAGTCACTTCCCCACTTCCACCACCACCACCACCAAGCAGCCACGAGAAAGGTAAGTCAACTTCTTGATGGTCCTTTTTGGCATCTTCCTTTACAGCAGATCCAGTTGCTTTGGGTGAGTTCGGTCAGAGTTGGGAGCGGGGTGCAAATAGGATGGTGGGCATGGGCCACAGGATATACTTGGCTGGCAGGAACTTTGTTAGCAGAGGCATTAATAAAGTGGGGGAAATATGTTCATAGTTGCTAGCAGGAATACCTGTATTTGTTTCAGTGGGGGCCCAGAAGACTACCTGATTACAGAGAGAAGCGATCTAGCATTTACAATTTGAAAATAAACTTTCATAGAATGTGCTCTGTATGGTAGATGGTTTTCCAGAAATGCAAGCTTCTTGGAGGGTGCATTGTGTGAACTGATAAGATTTTTACCCATCAAAAGTAATACGCGGGGAGTTAAAAAGAAGGGGGTTTTCACCCTTTGAAAAAGACATGTGGGTCGGCCAGATGAATATCTTGGCTACGTATAAGGAATATACAACATTATTCTTGGTGTTCTGATGATGTAACTTTTACCAAAAGAGGATATGACTGTTTGCTATACATAGCCCTGAGATTTTAGGATGGGGGGAAAAGATGAGTAGCACTGTGGGGGGGCTATTACATAGAAGGTAGTGAAACAAACCTTTGCTCGCTTCAGTCTGTGTCCTGTGGGACATTGGAGAAAACGGAGTCAGCTTAGAAGATTCTACAGTAGGAGGCAGAGTCCTCCTGCATTCCTCCCAGGCAAAGGGGTCTAGACTTCTTGGTGGGGGGACATGCTCAGATCTCTTGAAAGCATTTTCTACCTGGTAGGATTTGTCCTAGATGTGCCTCTTACTCTCCCGAGACCCAAGAGAGCTGCCTCGCACTCCCTGAAGTGCTCCAGGAGCCTGGACAGCCCTCCCACTGTGAATGAGGTCAGAGCCTCCCTGACCTACCCCTTTAGCCGAGGATGACTTGGAGCTGGGTTTCTGCCCTACCCCCACCTACAATACTTGAGAAAATATGAAGGAAATTTTTGTATGGTTGACATATATATGGCAGAAGGTTTTGCCTACAGGGTGTTGGGAACTCTGGGCTAACAGTAGGATGTCTCAACCAGTCAAGATTCTTTGTGATCAGCCCTTGGCTTCTGCCTTAAGAAAATCATTTTTCGGGTGCCTGGGTGGCTCAGTTGGTTAAGCAACTGCCTTCGGCTCAGGTCATGATCCCAGGGTCCTGGGATCGAGTCCCACATCGGGCTCCTGGCTCAGCAGGAAGCCTGCTTCTCCCTCTCCCACTCCCCCTGCTTGTGTTCCTGCTCTCGCTGTCTCTGTCTCTGTCAAATAAATAAATAAAATCTTTAAAAAAAAAAAAAAAAGAAAAATCATTTTTCTTCTTCTTTCTTTCCCCCTTTTCCCCTCCCCTCCTTTTCTTTTCTTCAACCATACCCAAGCATGTTTTCAAAAATGTGTTCTTTTCAAGAGTGTTTCTTTTTAAAAAGTGTGTCTAAATTGCAAGTACATATCAAATAAAAGTTCTCCTTTACATGCTCCCTGAAGGATACTAATATAAACCGTCCTATGTATATTCTTCTGGAACTAATTTCACAATATATTTACACACACACACACACACACACTATATATATAGAAAGGTGTTTTATATAAATAAGTAAGAGCTACATTTTATTGAGTACCTACTGTATGCCTCATTGAATCCCCCAACAAGCTATGTTGTTATCCTCATCTTACAAAGGATGAAACTCAGGCAAAGAGAGGTTAAATACTTGCTGAGGCCACACCAGAGACGGTGAGATGTAGAGTTGGACCTGAACCCAGGCACGTTGGGTCCAGAACCATGATTAATACTATGCTTTTCCTGCAAGCAGAAAAGAAATGCTCAAAGCCTTGCCCATTGAAGGCTGGAGACGTGCAGGTTGAGCAAGACGGGGGAGCTAAGAGGATGTGGGGGGCAACCTGTGCAGAGCCCTCTCCTGGGCCATTCCGTCCTTGTCCCATGGTCATCTGGGGAGAAGTTGTCACAAAAAAGTCTGAAGGATGGATGTGAGACCAATATCCAAAAGACTGAGAAAAGAAAGAAAAGCTCCTCGTGGATAGAACTGATAGGGGAGGATGAAGGGTTGGCAGCTGGAACGTTGTCCCAGAGCCTAGCACAGATACAGGGCCACTCAGGCAGCCCACCAGGTGCTGGGATGACCACCAGTCTGCCCCTGTCCTGGGCCCGGGCTGTCATGTGCATACCGAGCAGCCAGGGAGCCACACACCTGTCAAAGGACAGCGCTGCGAATTCTAATGGAGGCATTGCCCCAGGGAAGGACCGTGGGGTCGGAAGAAAGAGAAGTCAGACTTATTTATTGAGCAGGTGTTATTTGCCAGGGACTTTGATTGTCACTATGTTATTGATCTTCACAAACATTCTGTGTGGTAAATATTATTAACCCAGTTTTATAGGTAAATGGAGCTGAGATTTACTTACACCCCCCCCGCCCCCCCCGGTAATTGAGCCCTGGAATTCATATCGAGGTTCGACTCCTGGATTTGAACTCTGGCTCTGTCCTGTGCCCTGGGAAGTCTACAGTGAGGATCGACTGAGGTAGTGTGAGAATATTTTGTGAGCTGTGACTCTCAGAAAATCTGCTGAGGATTCGCTTTTGAAAGGATAAAAATAACTGACCGGGTTTCCAGGCGCACCGAAGTAGATTCATTTCCCCCTCTCAATCCTGGAGAGCTTAGGCAAAGCAGGCATGGGGCAGACCCAGGTATTTTTTATAGTAACGCTTTACCACCATCTGGAGGTAAAGGGACAGTTCAATTTTACCTTCAGGGGCTTTTATATTTACTCCTCCTTGCTCACCGTCCCTCTGTCCTCCGCTGAATCTGATCTTGATTGCTGCTTATGAGGTAGCCAGATCCAAGCAACATACAGTATGTGGGGAGAGAAGTAGCTCTAGCACCTGGCCATGTGGGAGGCACAACAGGTTCTTGGATGCATAAGAAAGCATCCCTCGGGCGCCCGGGTGGTTCAGTCCTTAGGCGTCTGCCTTCGGCTCAGGTCATGATCCCGGAGTCCTGGGATCGAGCCCCGCATCGGGCTCCCTGCTCCGCGGGAAGCCTGCTTCCCCTCTCCCACTCCCCCTGCTTGTGTTCCTGCTCTCGCTATGTCTCTCTCTGTCAAAAAAATAAATAAAATCTTTAAAAAAAGAAAGCATTCCTCATCTTGAGACGTCTTGGAGAGATGTGTACTAGTGAGCAGATAAATTGTAGCTCAGCGTGTGGTTCGTGCTGTAGTGGAGGTATGGACTGCTTTCAGATGAGTTAAAGTCCATCATGTGATCTCATGACCTGTCCTTCTAGAAGCTTTCTTGTGAGTCAGCCAAGCCCTGATAGCATCGTGTGCTGCCACTTCACTCTCAGGTAAACCAATTCATACGGTTGTGTATGTGACCCGATGGGCCAGAATTCTCCTTCTAGGATATAATCTAATCACACCAGTAAGGGGAATGAGAAATTGAGTATTCTGTCAAAAAATGACAAAAATATTTCAACACTGAGTCCTGATTTTTTCAAAAGGATAAAGAGGAGTAAAAGGGAATTTTATAACAGGCAACTTTTCCAAAGCCCGGGAGCACTTAATTCTTTGTGAGCAAATACTGAAAGATTCCTCTCAAAATCACGCCCAAAGAGGCAAATGCCCTCCTGCCTTGACCAAATTTAAAATTTAGTTCTGATCACACGGAACAGTCAACTGAGATGTGAAAACAGAAGAAAGGTAATAGATATATAAAATACTTCACGGTGAGAAAAAACCTAGGGGCACACTCACTTTATTAGCTCGTTCCATGAGGTGCCCAAGTACATGGTTGATGTATAAAACCCAGGAATGTCCCTGTACAGTAACATAACCTATTCGTTTTCCCGAAGACTCACATCTCAGATTTTGCCTATGAGGTTTGTAGGAAAGTCTACAGATACTTAGCCTTTAGGAAAACCTGCTAGTTGTTGTGTAGTCGTCCCTGGCGTGGTTAGATTTGTCTTAGGCTTCATCCTCTTGCTTTTGCAGGCGGCCGTCAGGCACAGCCTTTTACCTGGCCTGCAGGATGTGATGAGCAGGATCCCCCGCGAAACATCTGTCGAGGGATGGCTTGGAAGCATGAATGCTCCTCACTTCCTCTTTTGGCTCCGAGTGGCCCTCGGGCTCCAGAGCAGAATCCCAGATTTTCAGGGAGAGGAAATAGCTGTCGTGTTCAACATTCGTGACATTATCTTTTCCTTCCGTCCCCTCACTTACATCCTCTGAATGGGTTAGCGCTGCCAGAAATCTACATTTCTAAAGTGTTTGGTCCATCATGTGAATTTGAAATGTTTAGTATTCCTAAACTAAATTCTGTGCAAATGGAAGATGTTCTCTCCTGAGTGACAGGGTTTTCTTCATTTTGGAGAAAGCGTATCTTTATTATATTTTCATGATATAAATCATCCTGTAAAAAACTGTCAAACAACACAAATGTATTGAAAGAAAGGAACTCTACATAATCCCCGCCTCTCAGAATGAGCCACTGTTTATCACTTAGTTTATATTCCTCTGTACTTTCTTTATGCATATACTATCACATTTTGATAAATTTTTCCTAGTGTTTGCTGAGTACTATTCTAAGGGCTTTATAAGTAATAATTTAATTCTTACAGGAGCTCTGTACATTCACACTCACACAAATGAGATCAACAAATCATGGCCAGCCCCTTTATAGGTTTTTCTCTCTTTACAATAGTTGCAGAGTACTCCATTACATGAATTTACCTTCATATTTGTAACGACTTTCATTTCGGTTACCTCTAATTTTTTGCTATTTTAAGTAGCACTGATAGTAACATCCTCATGTCTTTTTTTTGCATGTATACACCATCTCAGTGGAATTGCTGCATAAAGGGTATACACATGTTACAGCTGTTTTAACATTGCCAAATTTTCCTTCCAGAAGGTTACACCTATGTCTGTTCCCATCAACAATGTGTG